CCTTTCCTAAGAGACTAGTGTGACTAAAATTACCTTTAGTGTATAAAATAGAATTATTGTGATATATCTATAAGAAGGGGTGTAAGATCTTCATCCTACTGGGGGGCATCCAAAGGGGAATTTAAGTCTTTTAAGATATAAAGTAGTGTCTGTTTCTCAGTCAGAGCTTCAGAATTTGTCACAATTGCAGTGTGCTTGGCCATGGCAAACACTGAGGCGCAGACGGCTCCCAGCATGTACCCCATCTTAGCAGATCGCCTCCTTGGGGACATGGCAATCTTTAAAAATGCTGATCCAATTATAGGATTTGTGTTCCTCTCCTGTCGTTCTGCTTCCTGATTAGGCCAAACCCAAAGAGGCAATGCAGAGCTTTTTATCACCTTGCGTTGGCATCCCTTTGACTGACTGATTCATCCTTAGATAACGCAGGGCTAAGCTAGAGCCTGGGCAACACGCTGGGGTCAGCAGACAAAGATGGAGGTAGCCTGGCACCTTTACCACCAGGCAGGACACTCAGACAGTCCACCAGTCACCAGCACTACCACCAGGAGAAAAATGCAAATGGGTTGACAGAAGTGTGAACAAAATGCAGTTATTTTGTGCAACATTTTGGGAAGAATCATATACCACAGAAATATTCAAAAATGCAAAATCTTTCTCCCTTCCTCTGTGAGCATGTCCGCTCCGAGCTCAGTTGCCCATTATCCCCAGGGCTCCCTTACCATTCACAGCCCTTAAGGTATCGCCCTATTATAACCTGCTTTTCTCCTTAAAGGCTGCCTTCCATGTTAATTTTCACCTGATTTCACTCCTATAGAAATGGACAGGGCAGAAGAAGGAGGTGTGATTTGGAGTGATTTGTCCCGCTCCCTGAATTTTGAGGCTGCCCTCATCTCTTTAACCTCCTAATAGCGTCACCTGACATTTCAGAAAGCTGGTCCACGTTTTCGCACACAAGCTTCCCTGTCAGGATGTCTCAGAACCTCGCTCTTCCTGCCGGAAACCCAGGGTGCAAAACATGAAGGAAACAGTGTTCTCCTGACTTTTTGAAATTAGAGACCAGCCGTTAGTGAGACTAAGATGGGGTAAGGGATGAAATCCAGTTGAGGATAGGTGAAACTTGAAACCACTAATTTTGATTATTGTTTCTAGAGTTTGAATGCAGCTGGGCAATCCAGATTTATTCTCGAGAACCTTCTGCATTACGCAGCCCGTCCGAATTTGGTAGGTGGAAAAGGCATTGCCCCAAGATCCCTTGGAGCAAGATGGAGCAGTGGTGCAGAGGCCTGCTGCAGGGCATCCCAAATGCCTCCAAGCGCTGCCACTTCTGTGACTGCCTGTGCTCCTAGCACATAGAGGCAGAGCTGCCTTAGGACACTGTACCAGAGGCAGGGCTGCGAGTGGTGGTGGTGAGGGCGGAGGGAGGAACTGGGAAGAAGGTGGTCCCTGCAGCTGCTTTTTTTTGGTTAGGAAAACATATTACTAATCAGGAGCTATTTCATTCTATTCCTCTCCCCCCCCCCTCCCTCTCCAATCCCCTGTCTTCCTCCAATTGACAGAAAAGCACATTTAGTGGGTCTGCCCCTTCCCCCACCCACATCTACAGTGACATGCTGTCTTTTGTGACTGCTTTTCCTTTTGAATGTTGTGCTTATTATGCATGGTAATGTGGTTGTGCCTGTGGAGAAAAGTTGGTGGGTGGGAAGCTGCAGATAAAGGCTGTGTCATCCTCACCCTCAGAGCTCCCTGAGCAAGGAGGTTTGAACCCTGGCAATTTCTCCCTTCTGCCTGGGAGAGAGGGCCATAGAGAAGGCCGTTGAGGTTTCGCATAGGAAGCTCCCTGCTTGCTCCACTGTGTTGGACGTGCTGCTACACTCGTGCAGAAGAATTACGTCATCTTGCTCCTTCGATGGTGGAGACCTTTGCCTCTCATTTCCCCAGCTCCTGAGTCTATTTGTGGGAAATGCTCTGCAGAAAGAAAGGGCCAGAGAGCTTCAGACTTTGTCTGCTAAGCACATCACAGAGCAGATTGGTCCAGCCCCTGTTCCAGTCTCTGTCCCTACCCCAGAGAGGCCAAAGATGAGCCAACCTAGTAGTTCATCTTCTCTTGATCTAAACCCTTTGTCTCTCTGGAAACCTTCCTGTCTGCTTAGGCCTCGTACTATGAGCCTTCGAAGCCCACCGCACTGCAGAAACTCATGGCTCGAAACAGGAAACTTTTAAGCTTCATGCTTAAGGTCACGGAGTATGATCAGGATAAGACGTTACTGATCATGACCAACAACCCACCTCCCTGCCTAGTGGACCAGCAAGGCAAGGACATGACACCATTATACTTTTCCAAGGAGTTACTGCTCAAGGTAAGGGCACCTGGGGAAGCTTCCTGGCACCTTAGGAAGGAACCTTCAGGCCTCTTCCTTCTAATTCTTGGCCAATTGCTTCACCAGAGAGAATTGGGAGAGCCTGGGAAACACTCAGAATCAGAGTTGGGCAAGCTCGGGTTGTGAAACATGACTGCTCAGAGAAGAGAGAGCTTTATTTTCATTCAAAATTGTTCCTCCTTGGCCAAAGATATTTCGTTTGTAATTAACAAAGGGCAAACTAAATTGGTAACTACAATATGGCCTCAGGGATAGAAAAGACAGTCTGGGGAATATAATCAATAATGTAAATATTTTTTAGGGGACCAGATAGACTCATGTCTTGTTAGGGAGACCACTTCATAGTCGGTGTAGATGCCTGACCACCGCACTGTATATCTGAAGCTGATGTTGAATAATAATGTATGTGAACTATAATTATATATACATATAGTCACGGGACGTGAAGTAGAGAGTGGGAATGGAGCCAATGGAATTGTAATAGATAAGTGTGATATCGGGGGTGGGAGGGCAGTAGACGGGGGAGGGGGTTGCTTCTGTGTGAAGGGTAAGAAGGATAACTATTGCATTGTTATGTATACCTGAAACTAACAATAAAAAAAGGGGGGGGCAAACTAGCCACTGGCTTTCTATCAATAGTTGAGTGTAAAGCAGTAAAGGATAAATCAAGAAATGAGGAATGTAGGGCCGGCCAAGTGGCTCAGTTGGTTAAGAGCTCGCTCAAGGGTGTGAGTTCTGAGCAACAGTGGTTCGAGTCCAGCCCAAGCTGAGCAGCCGCTAAGCTGCCAACAGGTAGCAGGATGGCTCAGATAAAAAAAAAAAAAAAGAAATGAGGAATAAGGACCAGAAACGAGTATCTAAATGGGAAAGGAGTAAAGGGTTATGCTTTGTACCCACTGCTTTTGGATGTTGAGAGGAAGGAAGAGGAACAGAGCGGAGAATTTGCTGTCACAGTAGCCAGACATTTGGGGCTCTGTTACACACTGCAGACATTCACATTCCATTTGATAAACAAATGCTGAATGTACACTAAGCTAGGAACTAAAATATATAGATGATTACAGGACAGTTTCTGTCTTGAAGGAACTTGGAGTCTAATAAAATATATCAATAAATATATAAAAGTACAGTAAAACCTTGGATTGCGAGTAACTTGGTTTGCGAGTGTTCCACAAGATGAGCAAACATTTCTAACACATTTTAACGTGATAAACGAGCAATGCCTCACAATACGAGTAGTTTATTTCCAGAACCAATTATGCTCGCAAACTAAGGTATTACTGTAATTATAATATAGCAGGATATATGAATTATAAGAGAATGTACAAGACACAGAAGTAATATACAATAAAGAACAGTATCCCTGTTGAGAGACGGAGTAATCAGGGAGGCTTTACAGAACAGTAACCCCGGACAAAAGAGTAGGAGAATATTCTAATCAGACAGAAAGGCAAAGCCATGAAGACGTGAGAAAGTGAGGTGCATTTAGGGAGATGTAAAAGAGTAAATGGCAGGAGATAAAACGATATAATCAAATTTGCATTAATTTAGAAAGACCTCTTGGAGATTGGGAGAAAGGTGCGTGATTTGTGAAAGAGACAAAAATCAGAAAGATTGGTTATGATGTCACTACAATAACCATAGTAAGAAATGCTGAAGAATCAAACTAAATCAATGGCAGAGACAGTAAAGGAAATCAATTTCAGAGATATTTAGGAGTCTGGATCCAAAAAAGATCTCGATAACCTTGAGAGAGGGCCTAATATAACAAGAAGAAATTAATTGAGATGAGTGTAAGGATAAACAAAAGAATCTAAAGATAACAGAAAGTTGAGCCTGGGAGTGGAGTTCCCCAAGACAGACCCTTATAATAAAATGTGGGGAATCTGGAATTAGTAGTTCCTTAGTTGCTACATGGATGGCAGTGAGAGATTCCTCTGCAAATGGAAGATAAAATGCTAATATCCAAAGGTATAGGCTGACAAAGGAGTTAACTAATTTCTTGCCTATGGTCTCTTGGGTCTCAGAATTTATGCCCTTTGAATGTAAACTCAGTGGTTTCTTTTTTTTTTTCTCATGGTAGTGAATAATGTACAGTGAGAGAGCGACCAATCCCAGGCCAGGGTTGCTCTGCTCAAGGTAGAGATGGAGATACAAGACTAGCATGTAACCTTGTGCAAGAAAAGCTTTCTTCCAACAGCTGGCACTTGTGAGCCTTCCAGATCACATGCAGGACCTGATCATGTTCATGAGCAAATTGTGGTACCAGTCAGACTGTATTAATAGCCAGAGTTAAGGCTTTCATTGTCCAACACTGGCACCGTGGTAATTTCATGGGGCTACCTGAACAAGTCCAAGAAGGTGGAAATATCCAATACCTAGAATGCCTCTTTCACATGCATGCTGCATCCCCTTCTTTCTCTTGTCAGATAAACATGACCATCTTTGGTGAACCTATGATCATATGCAAAGAAGCATTCTTTTGCCCAGTCATGTGTAGAAGAGTGTGGGTTCCAGCAGGCAACTTGCATAACAGGTCAGATGTGTCTAGCACCATGATTGTCATACTCACAGCACCTTCTAAGTGAAACAGATCCTACCACAGTTCGTGAAGAAAAGGATGCCCTAAGACAGGGGTCGGCAAACTGTAGCTTGCGAGCCACATGCGACTCTTTGGGTATGAACATGTGGCCATGAAGTAAAATTGAAAATGAAAATAAAACTATCATAGTTTCATGTATAACATTTTTAAAGGATATTATTCACATAATGGTGATTTCCTTTGTTTTATGGCTCTCGAATAATTTTTAAATTGTTGTGAGGGACAGGATTGGCTCTTCTGTCTCAAAAGTTTGCCGACCCCTGCCCTAAGAGGTCCCACTTTGTATAACTAGACTCGGTCCTCTCCTCCTAGCTGGGAGCACAAGAGGACACCAGACCCCGTGTAACAAAATTCATAGACTGGTTAGGGACCTGTGGTGGTCACGCCAAACCAAAACCAGCCAAAACCCAAAACCAACCAACTTACCAACAACCAAAGTCCCTGAGCTAATCAGATTCTTGCTTCCAGGTATCTGAAACGAGAAAGGAAAAGATCGAGGCAGTGGGAATAAAACTGAAAGGGAACATAGAGAAAGGCTATAAAAAAATCAAAGCATGAGGAAGAAGATAGTGTAGGGCTCATGAAAGTAGAGCAGGGGTAGGTTGAAGTTATAGGGAAGTAAAAATGAAAAAGAAGACACTATAGGTGGAAAAAAGGAATACAGAGTAAGGTAAGGGGTGAAAATGGTACAGAGAGAAGGAAGCAGGTAGGAAGAAAGTAGGTGGGATATGTTACTGATAGGATGCTAGAGGCAAGATACACAAACTCATACAGTGGTGGTCCTTAGCTAGTGCTATCTTGGATTCTAAATAACTTTCTCATTCCTGTTTTTCTGCCATGAGATCCAGCTCTGCTAAGGTTTCTGCTCTTTTGTGGCTAGATTGTTGCCATGTTTTACTTCCTAGGCACATGTGCTGTGTCAGTGTAAGAAACATCCAAATCTATATGGAGAGAATTTTTAGAAGTTTATTTGAGCCAAACTGATGATGTATGCTGGGGAGCAAGATCTCAAATGCTCTGGAAAATGGACAGTTTTGCAGCTTTTTTTATGCATTTGAAATAAAGGAAGGGACCCAAAGAAGACTGGAGAAAGCGAGGAGGGGATGGGATTATAGGATAATTAATAAGATTATGTGCTCTCTGGAGGGTTAATACCCCCTTGGAGGGGTATTACTTCTGGATTTCAAAGGTGTGTTGACCTAGATGCAAAAGAACACTAGACAGGGCTGCCTTAAATCCTTTCACTAAAGAAGTCATGTGCCTGGGGGTGTGACCATCCACCATGACCTGCCCAGTTAGGAATTTATGATCAGATCACCCTGTGAGGTTACTTCTCCTAGAACCCCCTTTTTTCATCCACAATTCTTACAGTGAAAACCCTATTAGTTGAGGTAACTTGAATGGATTCCTGTTCCCCAAAAACTGGAAATGCTTAAAGAGAATGAGTACAGAATTTGAAAGACACGTTCAGCAGCAAGTATTTAAAAAAAAAAAAAGCTCTAAAATTCTGAAAGAAAAAGCTCAATATTTGTTATTTAATTAGTTTGGTCATTATTCTTTCATTCATTCAGCAAATATTTATTGGACACCTACTATGTGCCAGGCACTGATATATCAGTGACTACACCAAAGTCTGCCCAAATGAAGTTTAATTCTAGTGAGGTAGACAGACCATAAGCAAGCACACAATCCCACAGATAATGTAAAATGTATTAAGTGCCAAGACAAAGCAGGATAAAGGAATGGAGCATGATGGGCATGAGTAGTGATTAGCAGGCCCTCAGAAGAGGTGATGACATTTGAATAGAGACTTTCATGGGGTGATAGGTTGTGTCCTGCAGTTGCTACACCTACCATACTATTTGCATTTCAGATTGCTACACATGAGGAAGAGTGTAAACTGTTAACTTTTTCAAATGAGTTACAATGAGATAAGTCAGGAGAATAGAGAACCCAAAGCCATGTCATGTGAAGAAAAGTAAAAAATGCTGGCCTTGTTGAGCTTGGAAGAAAGAACAAGCTTAGCAGGATCATGATGGACTTCTCCAAATTCTTTAAGGACTCTCTGGAAGAAACACTGGATTTGTTGTATTTGGACTATAGGGTAGAAGTTACAGGGAGATAGCTAGCTACCAGCTGATCAAAGATGAAATCGGTTGGAGTTTTAGACATAGAAAGATTGACCACTTGATAGTGATATTGTGGAGGGAATGTAAGAGTCAGATGAGTGGTGACACTGAATGACCTTTAAAATCCTTTCTGAAAGTCTTTGACTCTATGACCTTTAGTAATGATGATATCATTACCTCATAAAACATCTCATTCCGAGGCCTTTTCACAGTAGACAGGGAATAGAATGTGAATGAGGCAGCCATCGTTGAGAAAGGAAGGTAGACTCCTATGCACCTGTTTCCCAATTTAGTCCCCAATGTTTGGTTTCTTAAGCAATTCACTAATTGAATCGTTCTCAAAGCCGGGTAAATTCCTCTGCCATTCATTTCAAGGAGCCAGGGATCAAGTTCAATCAATTACTTAGGAACCCCACCAAGCTTTGGACAAGTCATCTGACAATGAAACAAGTGTTAGCCCACTCAGGGAACTGTTTCCTCTTGCTTAAGTTTCTGAGTCCGCACATCCCTCTCTGACAGGTTTTATTGCATCATTTTGGAAAGTTGGAGCTCAGCCTAGGAACTTGGTTTAGCCTTTAAGTCCCAAGGGACTCAGCTTACTCCCTCACTTTCTCTTCTTCCTTCTGCTGCAGGAAAGTTATCACCACAAACCCACTGAGAACTCCTGCCTACCCCTGATGTTTCAGAAAGGAAAGTTAAGATCTGGGCTGAAACCAATCTTTACTCTGACACTTTTGGAGGACCCTACATCCAAGCGAGAACAATGGTTTAGGTGAAGTCCTTGTTCACATTTTCTTTCCTATCATTTCTTTATTCATGTCACAATCTCTTTTCAGTACGGTTTAACAAATACTCTTTGGTTGTATGGTACATGTAGAGTAATACTGTATAGTACTGTATAGTAATAAGACATGGCTTCCCAGTGGGACCCCCAATTTCATTTATCTTGTAATGGAAGAGAAACAGTAATGCAAAGCTAAGGGGTTTTTGGTTTTTTTGTTTGTTTGCTTGTTTGTTTTACTGAGAATGATTTTCAGGAGTGAAGAGAAGTATTCAAAGGTCTATGCTTTGAGGAAACAGAAGAAAATTTTTTTCCTTAAGTGCAGGGTAAGGGCTATACACAAGAACAATGTGCAATGAGATTTTATTTGAAACTAGTTCCAGAAATATATATCCAGTGTGGGGAAGAGAGAGGAGGTTCTGAACTTCTTTCACAGGTTTACAAGGCTAGGTTCTGGAAGTATCCCTTCCACTGAACAGCGCTCCCACTCTACCAATGAACACCCACTACATTTTCTTTTCTTCTCCCCGGGAATCCGAGAGTGTGGTGGCTGGTTCTATTAACCCCTTGCCCTTGGATCTACTAAATGAGCTTTCTTTTTTAAGGTTTTCCACCAACAATGATTTCAAGAGTGAAGGGACGTATTCAATGGTCTGCACTTTGAGGAAACAGAAAAATATGTACCCTCAGCTCACCTTTGCTCCCTTTTGTAAAGATGGTAAGCTCCTCTTTCAAAGCAATGGCTTACGGGGCTGAGACGTGGACAAGAGATAAGGGCAAATTGACATCTGTCATGGAGGTTCTGGACACAATGTTTTCTTGTAGCTAAGAACTGATAGAGGCTCAAGTGCTGCTAGGCTTTGGACCCTGTTTAAATCCTCAAATTCAAGAAAGCTCTAGCATTTTCCCAAACTATATCACCTACCACTTTAATAGGTTTGGCCATATCGCTGGTGTTATTTGCCCTATTCTTTACTTAATGTTTTTCTTTAAAAGGATATATTTTTTTGTTCTGCTCCTAATTAATACTATTATCATGGGTTTGAGATACTAATTATGTGGGGTTTTTTATGACATACATTTAATCGAATTCATAATAACATTTAAAAGGTTTATCTATGTATCGCCTAAAACTACCCAGTGGTATGCATATCACACTTTGAGGAAACCTGTTCTAGAAGAAGCAAAGGAGTCTCAGAGGTCCACAAGTCTCTCTGGGGTTGAGGCAGGACATGGGGTGAAGGGGTTTGGGATAACGGTGTATGGAAGGGGATGCAACAGGAATACTCGTTACAAATTATCATTCATTTAACAACATTTATGGGGCACCTACTAAGTGTTGGACACTGATCATGCACAAGTAATAGTACATTCAACATGTGAGACAGCTGGGTCAGATCACAAAGGTCCTTGTATAGTATATGAATAAGGGCTCAGGTTTTCTCCCCTAGGCAGTTGAGACTCACTGAAGGATTTCAGAGCGCTCAGTAGACATTTGTGTACTAGAAGTATAATTGATGGGTCCCCAGACTTCACTAGCTTATGGCTTCAAGATAAGGCCCATTTCTCCTACGGGGCTTCTCTCTTCACGCAGTTTCTGAATCTCCCTGAAATACGCTTGCCTGTTGCACATCCTGGTGATTGCCTAATGCCTTTGCCAGCCATTCTGAGTCCAGTCATGGTTCCAGACGTGTGCGGTCATGTGCCATCCCTTAACTGGCTTCTTCAGGCTTCTCTGCTCCTCCTCTATTTGCCACTCCACCCCACGCCCACCTGTTGCCTCTCTTAACTCCCCATATACAGCTCAAACCAAGCTGTGATATTAAATAACCCTTCATAGATGTGGAAAGAAGTTGAAGAACTTGCTTTAAAAGAGGCTGCTCGTAGGCTCAGCCTCAAACCTGCCTCAGTTCCTTCATACTTCCCAGCACATTTATCCTTCTCGGGAATCTCCGGGCTTATCTACATGTCTCTGCCTAGGTTCCCAATACTCTTTGGCCCAAGGAGGGGGAAGAGGACTTTCCCTTCCTCAAAACCTATTTGTTTTCAGCCCCAGAATAAATAAGTAGGAATACCTACAGATAGTTCCCAACTTAAGATGGTTTGACATAATTGTTTGACTTTACAATGGTGTGAAAGTGATATGCATTCAGTTGAAACGAGCTAAACTATGATGATTGATTGGTGGGTTAGGTTATTAAATGCGTTTTCAACTTATGATATTTCCCAATTACAATGGGTTTATTGAAATGTAACCCTACTGTAAATAGAGGAGCATCTGTATGTCCTTTAGGGGAAACTCTACCTGGAAAGTAAGGTGTGAGCTTTATAAGTCAGATAAGGCAAACATAATACAAGGTGTGATCAAATAATATGGTGAATGTTTAAATTTTAAAAATTTATTACTGTAAAAGACACATTGCCATTAATCCCCCTCAAAATATTCTCCATCACTTTGAACACACTTATCCCATCATTCTTGCCGCTTTCTGAAGCAGTTCTGGAAGTCCTTTTTCATGAGTGTCTTTTGTTGAGTTGTCATGGCTGCCTGGATGTCCTGAATTTATTTAAAACATTTACCTTTCGTGGTCATTTTGACTTTGGGGAAGAGCCAGAAGTTGCACGGTGCCAGATCTGGTGAATAAGGTGAATGAGGACACACCACAATGTTTTTATTTGACAGAAATTGCTGTACTAGAAGTGATGTGTGACATGGAGGCTTTCCGTTGTGATCACAAAATACGGTGAATGCTGCTGCTGAGAGCCATCCAATAGAAAGGCAGGGAGGGATCTTCAATACGGGAAGTGGCACAATGAGCCTTAGTAACAGTGTGTGACAAGTTTCACCTTGTTCGGTGCAGTCAGTCGGGTGTGAGCTACAGTTGAGAAAATGTGTGTTTTAAAGTGTGCCATAAATCATCCTCCATCATGACAATGCTCCGTGTCACACATTGCTTCTGGTATATGGCAATTTCTGTCAAATAAAAACATTATGGTGTGTCCTCATCCACCTTATTCACTGGACCTGGCACCGTGTGACTTCTGGCTCTTCCCCAAAGTCAAAATGATTCAGGACATCAAGCCAGCCACGACAGCATAACTAAAGACACTCACAAAAGAGGACTTCCAGAACTGCTTCAGAAAGTGTCAAGAACGATGGGATAAGTGTGTTTCAAGTGAGGGGGAAGTATTTTGAGGGGGGTTAATGGCAATGTGTCTTTTACTTAATAATTTTTTTTATTTAAACATTCACCATATTGTTTGATCACACCTCACAGTTAATAGTACATTTAGTAAAGTTGGAGTTAAATCTTAAATGATGCTATATGTAGGATATTAATAGTTCAGCTTAAATCCATATTGGGGGAAAGAATTTCTCTAGAATCTAGAATGTAATCTATATTAGAATTTCCCTAATTTTTCAAGGGCATGATTCTATTAAGGATATACCCAATTTACATTTCTAAACAGAACATTTAATATCTCAGTCTGCAGCATTTCTTAGATTTATGGTGACTTTACAGTTTCACTCAAGGAAAATGAGTGGATACTGACTTGACTTACATATATCTTAAAGGCCCATTAGGTGCTTTTCCTCAACAAGGACAATCTACTGTGAATTTAAAACAATATCTCCACTTCAAGCAAAAGATAACAGCTTCAAGCAAAAGTTCTATTGCTAGCAACCCTCCTTCCAATAATAATGTTTCATGTTTACCAGGCATCCAAATAAATATTACATAGAGCATGTTTTGGATGGAGGCCCTGAAGGCCGGTTAGGAGGCTGTCCAAGAGACCAAGATAGGACATGAAGTAAGGTGTTAGCAGTAGGAATAAGGACACGAATTCAAGGGATATTTACAAGGCATAGTGCATCAAAAAAAGTGGAAGGGACGCGAGCAAGAAGAGCCCACAATGGAAGCTTCCAAGAACAGACAGAGGCTGAAGGAGAATCTGGATAAAGTGATGACACTGAAGCCAAAGGCAGAAAGAGTTTCTTAGTTACACACTCAAGCAGGAGACTGAAAACCAACATACACTTTAGGAAAAGACTAAGAGGGATGTGAATATACAAGCCAACAGCGCACCTTAACTTAATAAAAGTTACGGTTAGTGTCAATATGGTTGCAGATGGAGTCATTGCAAAGGGGTGGCATTCAACAGGGAAGGCTCTAAACCAGCAATGTTTTAAACGGGGTTTTGATGAAGGTAAGGAACCCAGAACTATAAAGAAGGTTTGGGAATGGTAGTCCATGGTCCAAAATCTATCCCCTTGCCAAGAGTAAAGGTCACCTCTCTCCTCCCTCTAAGTGGGTCATTTTCATGCCTCACTAAGGGTGACCTCATTAAGGGTCCTTCTAGCCCCTCTCGAAATCCACCTTCACCACGGTGCCCTGTGCTTTGTTGCAGTCCCCAAGAAGTCAGAAAGTGACACGCCGACTTCCAAGATGAAGTGGGAACCACTAACCCTTTCATCGCTCCTGAAAGAGAAGCCCACCAGAACCGCGCCAGGGGAGAGCGCCTTCCGCAACGGAAGGGCCCAGCAGTGGGTCATGAAAAACGCCACTGTCATTAAGTAAAACATCTTTGGGCCTCTCGCCTCGGTCTCCAGAGACTGAGGGGCCTGCAGAAGTGGCCATCCAGGGCGTGTCAACCAAATAAAATCAGATTCTGCCCCCTGCGGGCCTGGGCTGCCCGGTCCCTGGCAGGGTGGGCTGGGACGAGCCCCGGGTTCCCACCGGTGTCCGCAGGGGCTGTGACGCCGGCCCCGGGACCCAGCGCCTGGCCCCGCCTCCGCTGGCTGGGGCCGGGCGAGGGGGCGTGGCCACGTCCCCGTGGGACCAGAGCAGCCGCGACAGCCGGGGAGGGCGGGCCTTCTCCCCGAGTGACGGGACGGAGGCCCAACCGGCGCCAGAGCCCGGGGCCGGTCTTCCTGCAGCCTCTTCCGCTTGCCGGCTGCGGCGCCTGGGACGACTGCGGTGGGTCTGGGGCGCTGGGAAGTCGTCCAAGATGATTAAAAAATTCGACAAGAAGGACGAGGAGTCTGGTACGCGCTGGGATTCTGACGCCCACCCTCCGCTGCGGGGGTCCCTTCCTCCCCCCGGCTCGCCCGCCGCCACCCGCTCTCGGGGACAGCGGACCGGGGGGCGTGGGCGCCCGTGTGCCAGGGGGCCGGTTCCAGCCGGGGGCCTGCCCCTAGCCCCTCCCCCGGGCGCCGGAGCCTCCCCTCGGGTCGCGCGCTCCAGTCCCGACGCCCACGCGCCGCATCGGGCTGCTTGGCGGCCCCGCCCCCTCCGCCTCCCCTACTTTTGGCGCAGCCCCGCCAAGCCGCCTCCGCTCGGGGTGGGCTGCTTGCAGAGGCGCGGGCCCGTGGCCCTTGGCGGCCAGCATGGGTGTGCGCGTGTAAGAGGCGAGGGACGTTGGCAGTGTGAGGCCCAGAGTGGGTCTGAGATCCACGGGACAGTGTGTGTGTGCGTGTGTGTGTACTTTGAGGTGCCTTGTACCTTACAGCCTTCCTGGGGACCTTGACACCGTCTGCTTCCCAGGGGGCAAAAGTGCCCCGTGGTACATAGATCATGTCATGCGCAGGCATCCAAAAGTGGGTTGCGTCTTGATGCTTTGGTCCAGAGCCAATGGGGAAGCTGCCAAGCCACCTCAAAAACAAACTCAGTGTGTGATAGATGCTCTCACAAAGTGTGGTGGAGAGTTGGGTTAGTAAAACCTTCATGGCCCCTTCCAGCTTTGTGTATGTGATTCTCTGCTAAACTCTTTTTCTGCCTCGCAGTAAGTGTTGGAAACACATGAAATCATGCTTGCCTTTGGGGGAGTCCAAAAGGCCCTACCACAGTCTCGTTCATCTTAGTTGTGTGGACATGACAGATATTTGTAACATTCATATAAAAAGAGGACAGTTGGAAAGAAGACACTCATTTCGGACAGGGTTCCTGCAACAGTACACTATCTTACAGGAAAGCAATGACAGAACCAGTACCAGCATCAAAATGATTATATTCAATGTATGCGCATATTAGTAATGATTATCACTGCAACATCCAAGTGTTCACTTCCCTTAGGTCAGATATCCCAAGCATTCAATACCCTTCTGTAGAAACTAAGTTTGTGTAGGACAGTTATTAAAGATCTTTTTGTCTGTTTTATAGGTAGTGGTTCCAACCCTTTTCGGCATCTGGAGAAGAGTGCTGTCTTACAGGAGGTATGGCTTAGAAGTATACTGTGTTCCTTCTTTTCTATTCCGTTTTAGAATGGTGGGCACAGAGTCCCTGGAATGTTGAGGTCCAAGATAAGAATTAAAGAGTGTAACCGAGTTCAGAGAATATAAACTTGAGGGGAAAAGAAGAGGGGTTGCTTGTCAGAGGAGAGAGAGGTGAGAGTTTATAGAAATGCAAAAACATGCAGACTCGGCCATGTGTTGAGAATTGTAAATAAAATGCCAGAAGATGTGTTCATTGTATGGTTATTGAAGGAAGTTATAGATATTAAACTCATTGTATTAAAATGATGTAGATAAATATTGTGATTCTTAACATACAAAGCCTACAAAGTTGAAGCAGTAGACCTCAGGGAATGAGTTAGAGAGTATAGAATGGAAAATCAAGGTTACGTTTAATAAATTATCATACACCATAATAAATTGAAAACTATAGGCAGCTAACATTTGAATATTGTGATTAAAATACATAATGGTCTATTTTATTAAAGTTGATTTTCTATAATCAGAAAAAGTAGAAAATATACTATATATAACAACATTTTTGGTTTTTATAGGCTCGTCTGTTCAATGAAACGCCCATCAATCCAAGAAGATGTTTGCATATTCTTACAAAGATTCTTTACTTACTGAACCAGGTAAATTATTTTGATTTTCTTCAGATTTGTGTCTTGGAGTAGAAATACATAATATGCAGTAAAGTACTTTTTGGAGAATATAATTATTTTTTTTTAAAGTCAGTTAAAAAAAGTCGACAATGTTTGATTGACATACTAATATGTAAAACTTCTTGAGGATAAGGACTGTGACATATACTTCTTTTTCATGCACAAGTACTAAACCACTAAGCACATAGTAAAGTCTCAACATTGATTTGAATTTAACAAGTATTAGTTAATGTTAACACGTTGTTTGCGGGAAACGAGTAAACTCGTCATATAGAGAAAAATGCCCACTTACAAAGTGTTAAAACACATTATTTAGATTTGTTCAGAGGTCTTTATGTGCCTCCAAAAATGTCGCACAAAACCTTAGATAAATTCCAGATATTTTACCCTTTTGGGGAGGTGGAGGGGTGTATGTTTTAAAGCTTTGCATTTTGTATGTATTATCCTTACTCCACCATTACTAGCATTATGATTCTGGGCTTAACCATTTAATGCCTTAATGTCCTTATTTATAAATGGGATTATGATATTAGCTGCTTTATAAAGTTGTAATGATTAAATGAGATAATAAGCATAAAGCATTGAGAATAGTCCTAGATACATGGTAAACATTCAGGAATAGCTTTCGTTCTGTCATTCAGCAAATAGTTATGACACATTTGCTGTGTCCTATGCACTGTTTTAGACACAATCAACAAAATAAAAAAAAATATTTGCCATAATGAAACATTCTATTTGCCATTGTTATTCATTTTATTTTTTCTTGTTTTTTTTGGTTCAGACTTAAAAATCTCATGAAATGTCTAGGGCCTTAGAAAATGTAATTTTACTTCTTAGACACACACACACACACACACATATATGCACACGGTTTACACATGGTGCTAAGAAGACTATGGCTTCCCATTTGAATTCCATGAGAATATTTTGTCTTTACTATGTTTCTTGACTGAAGACCTCACCCAGAAACAAAATAAAGTTTTGTAGTTTGCAAATGGAGATTGAGCAACAAGTATATACTTTTAAATAAAATGTATCTATTTGCAAACATCATATCCCTCTGTGGTAGCATATTAGAAACATTTAAGGCACAATTTGCTTTTACTTTTCATAACACGTTTGGGTTGTATCCAAGTTGGCTCAATCCATTATATAATATAAGAGTTTTGAGTAGTTGGCATTGGTTCAGAGTAGCATATACTTTTGTATTGGCCAATAGCTCTTTGATTGGCAACTCATGTTGAAACATTTAATTATCTTGATAAAGAAATTACCAAGCAAGACTGATACATAAACAGGTTTGGGAACCTTAGTGTTTTCTTTTGCCTAGTTATTGGGAGAGCTTTATGAAAAAATACTTTTAAATTCTACCAGCGTTGACATATCCATATATTCTCTGAATTTCAAGTCAAGTATGGACTAAAGTTTTACCTAATGACTGAAAAGTACATGGACTCCTAAGTATTCAGGAAATAGTTGTGAAAGGAAGAAGGAAATCTCTTGCTGGTGAGCAAGTTGGATACTCTGATTGAAGTAATTGTAAACTATTATACTTTGTCTTTCATCCTAAACTTTCAAAGTGTTGCATCAAAATTTGCTTATTCTTAGACCTGTGACAAATAGAGTGAAGACTAGTTATATTCTGTGTGCAATCTGGAGTTCTGAAAAGTGATTGCACCTAACATATTACATAGGATTGCTTTTAATGAAGAAATTAAATGTTGAAATGGTAATGTTTCGGTGTGTGATCTGCAATATTTTGACTATAAGTGAAATAGGTTATTAAAGACCATACTATGCTACTCAAAAAATAGTTAGAAATGCAAAATTTCAGGCTTCAGCCTGGAGCCACAGAGTCAGAATCTGCACTTCGTCAAGATCCATAGCTGATGTAGTGAGCACGTTCAAGTTCTGATCCAAAGCATGTTTTTAGAGACTTGAGCCAATGTCATGAGATCTAGGAGCAGCCCCTTAAGCCGTATTTTAATATATCTAATCTGGTCCCTGCCCTTTTCTTTTGGGGGTGGGGCGGGCTCTATGTTGTTTTCTGGGATTCCTAATAGTTCCATACAGTTTAGTATTTATTATGCTCCTATGAGAGTGTTGGGCTTTGTGCTGGGCACTGGGTTATAGAAATGTATGAGGTAGGGTCTCTGCTCATAGGCAGTGTAACTAGAACATCCTAATCTGATTAGGAACTCAACTTGCTATCATTTTCTACCTCCTTGTAAATCACAGTTCTTCAGGGAAATTAAAATAGTTCCTACTTAAAGGATAAAGACCACTATTCTAAAACTTTGTTAGCATGGTGTGTGATACTGAATTATTTTCAATAAAAAACAGATAAATGGCTACGTAAGTTTATAAATGGAAAGCCAGCAAAATAGCAGAGAGGCAGAATGTTTACAAAGAGATTGTTTTTCCCACATCCTGAAAGATTTTTTCAGAAACAGAGAAACACCTTAATTGGTTGTTGTTTTTTTTTTTTTAATTTAAGAAATTGTTTTAAATTTTCCTTAGGAAATTGTTTTAAATTTTCTTTAGGGTGAACACTTTGGAACCACGGAAGCCACAGAAGCCTTCTTTGCAATGACGCGATTGTTTCAATCTAATGATGTAAGTCTTTTATAAAATTTTTCCTGGCTTAAAAAAACTTTCATTTGTTTTCTCTGGGGAACTTAGA